GAATTTCCCTTTCCCCAGCTCAGAATTCCCAAGGAATTTCCCTTTCCCCAGCTCAGAATTCCCAAGGAATTCTCCTTTCCCCGGCTCAGAATTCCCAAGGAATTTCCCTTTCCCCCGCTCAGAATTCCCGAGGAATTTCCCTTTCCCCGGCTCGGAATTCCCAAGGAATTTCCCTTTCCCTGCCTCCAAACATCCCAGGAATTTTTCCGTCCCCCCCTTTTCCATCCTCCCCCATTCCCACGGATCTCTCCCGCCTTCCCATCCCCCATCCAGAACATTCCGGAGCGGGAAAAGAGAGCGGAATTCCCACCGGGAATTCCCAGCCGGAATTCCCACCTTGGCGCTGGGCTCCTCGATGCTCTCCTTCACCGGGATCGGAACGCGTTCCAGAAGTTTCTGCAGCTCCAGCTTCTCTTCCTGGAAAAAAAAAAAACCCGGGATAATCCCTCTGGAATAACTCTGCAACACCCCCCCCCCAAAAAAATTCCAGGTTTTTCCGTATTTTTCCCAAAAATAAAATTTTCCCCAATTTTTTTGCCTGTCTGGGAAAGGGTCTGGGATCTCTCCAAGGAAAAATTCCCTCCCGGAATGCCGAGTCCGGGAATTCCAACTCCGGAGGGAACCAAAGCCGTTCCCGATATCCGCGAGGAAAAATGGGTTGGATTCGCATCCTGGAATTTTATGGATTCGTATCCTGGAATTTTATGGATTCACACCCTGAAATTATGGATCCATGTCCGGAATTTATGGATCCATGTCCGGAATTTACGGATCCGTGTCCGGAATTTACGGATCCATGTCCGGAATTTATGGATCCATGTCCGGAATTTACGGATCCATGTCCGGAATTTATGGATCCACATCCTGAATTTACGGATCCACTTCCTGAAATTTTATGGATTCACATCCCAAATTTATGGATCCATGTCCGGAATTTATGGATTCACATCCTGGAATTTTCTGGATGCACATCCCGAATTTATGGATCCACATCCTGAATTTATGGATTCACGTCCTGAAATTTTATGGATTCACATCCTGAATTTATGGATCCACATCCTGAAATTTTATGGATTCACATCCTGAAATTTTCTGGATTCACACCCTGAAATTATGGATCCATGTCCGGAATTTATGGATGCACATCCTGAATTTACAGATCCATGTCCTGAAATTTTATGGATCCATGTCCTGAAATTTTATGGATCCACATCCTGAATTTATGGATTCACATCCCGAATTTATGGAACCAAATCCTGAATTTATGGATCCACATCCTGAAATTTATGGATCCCCATCCTGAAATTTTATGGATTCACATCCCAAATTTATGGATTCATGTCCGGAATTTATGGATCCATGTCCGGAATTTATGGATGCACATCCTGAAATTTTCTGGATGCACATCCCGAATTTATGGGTCCACATCCAGAAAATTTATGGATGAACATCCCGAATTTTTGGTTTCACATCCTGAAATTTTATGGATTCACATCCTGAATTTATGGATCCACATCCTGAAATTTTATGGATTCACATCCTGAATTTATGGATCCACGTCCTGAAATTTATGGATTCACGTCCTGGAATTCTATGGATCCACGTCCTGAAATTATGGATCCATGTCCGGAATTTATGGATGCACATCCTGAATTTACGGATCCACATCCTGGAATTTTATGGATTCACATCCTGAACTTATGGGTCCACATCCAGAAAATTTATGGATCCACATCCCAAATTTATGGATCCACATCCTGAAATTTATGGATTCACATCCTGGAATTCTATGGATCCACGTCCTGAAATTTATGGATCCACATCCCAAATTTATGGATTCACATCCTGAAATTTTATGGATCCACATCCCAAATTTATGGATTCACATCCTGAAATTTATGGATCCACGTCCTGAAATTTATGGATCCACATCCCGGAATTTGATTGGGAGTTGGCTGTTGCGTGGTGGTGTTGGCTGTCGGTGTCGGGTGTTGAGTGTTGGGTGTCGGGTGTTGGGTGCTGTTGGGTGTTCCTGGATGTTTCTGGGTGCTCCTGGATGTTTCTGCGTGTTTCTGGGTGTTGCTGGGTGCTGTTGGGTGTTCCTGGTTGTTGCTGGGTGTTTCTGGGTGTTGCTAGGTGTTGTTGGGTGATGGCTGGTGCTGGGTGCTGTTGGGTGTTGCTGGGTGCTGTTGGGTGATGGCTGTTGGGTGTTGCTGGGTGCTGTTGGGTGTTGCTGGGTGTTGTTGGGTGATGGCTGTTGGGTGTTCCTGGTGTTTCTGGATGTTCGTGGGTGTTGCTGGGTGCTGTTGGGTGCTCCTGGGTGTTTCTGGGTGTTCCTGGGTGTTGCTGGGTGTTCCTGGGTGCTGTTGGTTGTTGCTGGGTGCTGTTGGGTGTTGCTGGGTGTTGCTAGGCATTGTTGGGTGTTGCTAGGTGTTGTTAGGTGTTGTTGGGTGATGGCTGTTGCTGGGTGTTCCTGGTTGTTGCTGGGTGTTCCTGGGTGTTTCTGGTTGTTGCTGGGTGTTTCCAGGTGTTTCTGGGTGTTGCCGGGTGTTGCCGGGTGACGGCTGTCGCCGTACCTCGCGCACGGTGATGTTGCGGAATTCCGAGGACAGGGAGAAGACGCGGAACAGCTCGATCTCGCTCAGCGTGGGTTTCAGGAGTTGGTTGTACGTCTGCACCGTCTCGTTGGTGATGTAATAATGGCTGGCGATGCGGCCCAGCTCCGTCACCTGCCGGAACAGCCGGAAAACAGCGGGAACAGTCAGAATAAACCACGGGAACAGTCAGGATAAACCATGGGAACGGACGGGATAACAGCAGGGAACAGTCACAATAAACCACGGGAACAGCCGGGATAAACCACAGGAACAGTCGGGATAACAGTGGGAACAGCCAGAATCAACCACAAGAACAGTCAGAATAAACCACAGGAACAGCCAGGATAAACCACAGGAACAGTCAGAAAAAACCATGGGAACAGTCAGGATAACAGCAGGGAACAGTCACAATAAACCACGGGAACAGCCGGGATAAACCACAGGAACAGTCGGGATAAACCATGGGAACAGTCGGGATAAACCATGGAACAGTCGGGATAAACCATGGGAACAGCCGGGATAAACCATGGGAACGGACGGGATAACAGCAGGGAACAGTCACAATAAACCACGGGAACAGTCAGGATAAACCACAGGAACAGTCGGGATAACAGTGGGAACAGCCAGAATCAACCACAAGAACAGTCAGAATAAACCACAGGAACAGCCAGGATAAACCACAGGAACAGTCAGGATAAACCACAGGAACAGTCAGAATAAACCATGGGAACAGTCAGGATAACAGCAGGGAACAGTCACAATAAACCACGGGAACAGCCGGGATAAACCACAGGAACAGTCAGAATAAACCATGGGAACAGTCGGGATAACAGCAGGAACAGTCACAATAAACCATGGGAATGGTCAGGATAACAGCCGGAACAGTCACAATAAACCATGGGAACAGCCGGGATAAACCACAGGAACAGTCAGAATAAACCATGGGAACAGTCAGGATAACAGCGGGAACAGTCAGAATAAACCATGGGAACAGTCAGGATAAACCACAGGAACAGTCAGAATAAACCATGGGAACAGTCGGGATAAACCACAGGAACAGTCAGAATAAACCATGGGAACAGTCAGGATAACAGCGGGAACAGTCACAATAAACCATGGGAACAGTCAGGATAAACCACAGGAACAGTCAGAATAAACCATGGGAATGGTCAGGATAACAGCGGGAACAGTCAGAATAAACCACGGGAACAGCCGGGATAAACCACAGGAACAGTCAGAATAAACCACGGGAACAGCCGGGATAAACCACAGGAACAGTCAGAATAAACCATGGGAACAGTCGGGATAAACCATGGGAACAGCCGGGATAACAGCAGGAACAGTCACAATAAACCATGGGAATGGTCAGGATAACAGCCGGAACAGTCACAATAAACCACAGGAACAGCCGGGATAAACCACAGGAACAGTCAGAATAAACCATGGGAACAGTCAGGATAACAGCGGGAACAGTCACAATAAACCATGGGAACAGTCAGGATAAAAGCCGGGACAGTCAGAATAAACCATGGGAACAGTCAGGATAACAGC